CTGGTCGCGGCGAGATGGGGCGGAAAGGCGAGTTATGACAAGCCTGAGGCTCCTCTGACTGAGGCCGGGATGAAGAGTGCGTCATTGGAGGATCGTGCCTACGCACTATCGCAGCTGAATCAGATGGTGAACTTTCACAAGAAGCACCTCTGCTCTGGGCGAGGAGCGCCTCTGGTGAGTGCGGCCGCCCCTAGTGGACCCTTTGCTCCTGACCAGTTGGATGATAGCAGGAAGTTCAGGCCTAGTGGGGCGGCGAGCAAGATGACCTACAATCTTGTGATACTGGATGGGAAGGAGGATTATCTTGCCGATAGGCGAGAGATCAATCCAGAGTTAAGGGAAACGGGAGTTATCCCTGATGAGGCCGTCACTTGCCAGATTGTGGTTCCCTCGAAGACGAGGTTGGGTGAATACCTCCCGAACTACGAGGAGACCGTGGGCACTGTTGCAGGACGGGAGGCGGCGAAGGAGTTGATGAGACTGCTCTCGTGCGATTTCGACGGCTTGGTCATCAATTCAAAGAGAGTCTCGGAGTTATTCGAGGAACGTGTGCTGAAGGAGACCGGACGCGAGGCTGGAAACTGGGTGAAAAGTGACCAGGCCATCTGGTTCCTGAAGGAGATTTCGGGTATGGAGAACGCTGAGATGTCTTGGAAGTTCTTCATTCCGACGCTTAAAGCTTTCCCGATAGGGCAAGTGGAGGCGATGCTCATGGTCATGTACGACGGGGATGGCGTTCTCCTCAAGGAGAGCACCAGGTTGGTTGCCGTTAGGCACACGCGGATCGGACGCGACTTGAGTTACAGTGCCGTTAGGCACAGGTATACTCAGGAAGATGCACCTGGCGGATCTCTGATGTATGAGATGCATTGGAATGAACTCCCCATGGTGGGATACGTCATCATGAAGTTCTCGGACTTTCGGAAGGCGGTTCAGCTCCAAAGGGTGAGGCGAAATGGAAAGGCCATGATCGAGATATTGATCACGAGGCCCGATGTGTACGAGACCATTGGGGATGGTAGGCAGGATGAGGGCCTGATCCCACTTGTGGGAGCCATGGCGCCGGATGCCGAGGTATCGCCTTCGTGGTATGTCAGGGACAGGCTGCGGAACTACTCCGGTAGGTACGTGGTGGTAATGGTGGATCTTCGGGTGCACTGGTCCTTGGTTGGACCCGTGTTTTTGACGAGAAGGAAGACTCTTGCCGTTAGGAACGAGATCCACATGGGGGCTTGGAAGGCGGCGTATATGTACGATGATTACACGATAGTGTACCATCGGGCATGGGACTACGGTGACTTCACCCCCGTTAGGGGAGAGCACAGGCGATCACGGGAAGAGATCAGGCTGAATGTGACTGCCACGTTCTGCTTGAGGTGCGCAGAATTGATGCCGAATGGGATGCACTTGTGTCCCGGGTGCGCGCTCCCGGTCTTTTACCCGAACTTTATCCCCAACGCGGAGGAAAAGGACTTCGAAAGATGCCACATCGTGCCGGAGTGGGTGAGGACCATGGGGCAGTTCAAGCCCAGGAGGATTCCCTCCGAAGTGGTCGGAGTCATCAAGAGGAATTTGATTTCCTATTCGATGGCATCCGATCTAAGGATGACGGTGCAGAGCGGCATCAGACTTCCCCCTTATCTTGGTGAAGACAAGGGAGGTGTCGATGCGGCGTGGGATGAGCTGGCGAAGGTGCTCTTCCAATTCTCCTATGTGTCCGGGATTTCGGCCTCGGATGCGTTTGTGGAGAAGTGGGTGGCGAAGCACCTGATCAAGACCAACCAAGTCGATAGATTTGAGTCGGTCACGGAGTACTTCCGGGCCAACCCAAGACACGCTGCTCAGTGGGGTAGGCGTATGACGACTTCCGTTAGGAAGTTCGCTCGTCATGACACGTACTTGTCATTCTATATTCCGATGGCATACGTGATTGGTTCCGCGGCTGGTCATCTGACCCCATTGTACCCGACCCATCGAAAGGACGTGGACATCCTGGAGAGTCATGCGTTGATCTCGCAGCTCAGGAAGTACATGGTATCGGAGACAGGGTACGATGAGAAGAAGAGGTTGAAGGAGGCGATAGCCAAGGTGCAGAAGGCGATCAGCGCCGGACAGTCGGAGCCTCCCGCACCCTTCCGTGACCCGTTCGTCTACGTTAGTGACGAAAGGGTGAGGACGGTTCTTGACGGTCGTCAACCCGAACCATTGAACGTGGACATCGAGGGACTCCAATCGGTGCATCATGCTGCGCCGGGTCCTGGTCCCAAGCAGGAGCCGGTCCCCAAGGGCGGAAAAGGAAAAGGGAAGAAAGGGGAAAAGGGCGGTAAGGGCGGTAGTCCTTCCGGCCCACCACCAAAATCAGGTGAAGTGCCAGGTAAAGGATCTGGTAAGGGCGGTAGCCCATCTGTCCCAAAGGCGAAGGATGATGCTGGACCTGCTCCGATGGAGGTTGATACAGCAGCAGCTCAGCCGAAGAAGTCTTGGGCCGAGATGGTGGTTGAAGGGGCCAGGCCGAGTGCCAAGGCTAAAATGACCCCGGTTCCTAAGGCCGAGCCGAGAGGGAAGGCTGCTTCAGCATCTGAGGCGAAGAGTGCTCCGGCTCCAAAAGCTGTGGCTAAGGAGACGAAGCAGGCCGAACCGAAGGTTGAGGTCAAGAAGGAGAAGACAGGCGGAGGTGACGCTCCCGGCGGTAGCCGCGGGTCGGCCGAAGGGCAGAAGAGAGAAAGGAAGTCCCGTTGGGATCCCGACGAGGCTGCGAAGGAGTCGACAAAGCGGGAGGCGTCCACGAGGCCTGGCGACGTCGACAGCAGACCAGGTGCGGCAGCGAGAGAAGCTAGCGGGGATGATCTTCACTCCGCGCTTGGCAGATCTTCGGCAAAGGATGCGGTAGCGCCTTTGACGGCCTCCAAGGCGATGGCAAAGAAGCCTGAAGGCGGGGAGATCCGGCTGCAGTCTGCTGAGCGGGCCGCGGCGAGCCCGGTGGAGGGTCACTTTCTGGTGCTGCCTGAGAGTTCGGTGGTGGACGCTTTCTTGTCGATCTCCACCAACAGAGTGCTGAACAAGCAGGTCAGGGATTTCATCAGGAATGGTGAGGACGCGTCGGCACTGGAGGCTCTCAACCAGATCGTGACGAACTCTCGATCTGGGAGGAGGCGTAAATCGGATGTTTCCCGTACTCCTTCTCACACCAGGGATTCCAGGGAGTCAAGGAGGCGCAGATACCGTCCACGGCGCGAAGATGAGCGAGACCGGAGGAGGGACGATGCTCGTGATCGTCGTGATGATGAATCACTCGATCGGGAGCGAGATCGAAGGCGAGATGATCGCAGGAGATCCGAGAGGGATCGTGATAGGGACCGTGCGCGGGGCGGACGTGACCGGAGGAGACGTGACGATAGCCGGTAGGCTGAGTCACGAGGATTGCGGCCGATAGGCTTGCGTCCGTTCTCCAATGGTCGGCGCGGTGCGGAGGTGGTGATGTTCCTCCCGGACCGCTGAGGCGCGGAGGTCATGTCTCTCCCATACCGCTGCTGGGCTGCTGGACGTGTTCATCAGGGAGCAGTGTGAGTGAGAGGGAAAGCAAACTGATGGGGGGTTACTCCCGGGTTTGCTGAATTCAAGCATTTTTATTCAGGTACGCATGGTCAGGAGTACCTCTTGCCGTTAGGCGAGGGTACTAATGGACATACGTTATCTTTTATTTCATGGCTTCTGATAAGAATTAAACTTCTTGCATTGTTGATGCAAACAGTTGTGACCTAGTGTCGTCATGTGGACTTTTCCACAAGGTTTGTTGGACAGCGTTACCCCGATTAATTCGGGGTGGTGGCGGGAATTTAATGCCCGGGATGTCGCGCAACTGCCTTTGTGGGTTTGCTCCACCGCTGACGGCGGTAGTGTCCAGCTGTTTGCGGACGCATGCGAGCAGTTAAATCCTATCAGTAAATGGCACGCTCCACCCGTCATATGACGGGCTCCTCGTGAGGGGGGTGTGATTAGCCATGGTTCATATCATCATCAGGGACGTCGCGTTAGTGACCGACCTGTGGTGTTTTGGCTCAAGTTTTGGGTTCCGTCGCGCCTCGAATGGGCGTCGCCGAACCCCTGCGTCGACCGACGGCATCTCGGGGGAGAAAGAGACCTCGGGCCGCCGCCAGGTTGGTAGGGACCAGTCGTGCGGCCTGTTGTCGACCAAGGTTGCGGGTTAACCCTTTTCTTGTTTGCTTTGTTTTCCTTTGGTTGTTGTTCTCTGGTGTGTGGGAAACCCTGATCTTTGGGACCGGGGATTGGTTTGCTTTTGGGGAACCTTTCTTTTTGTGGCTTGTTTACCCCAACTTACCCATTGCCTGGGCACAGGCTCGTGCCCGAATCACAGAGTGTTCTTAAATACGTTCCAAAAAGAATAATATAAGAAATAGAGTGGAGCAAACAAAGGAGTTCATTAATACGTTGTGGGGCAAAAGTCCAATTGTATGAAGCGATTTGGCGTTACAGCAACCCTCATGGCTGCTTTACCGCTGAGAAGGGGACTCGCGCATTTGGCAAGCATACAACTGATATCCTGAATTCCCGCATTGACATGGATTACCCAAAAGTTGGGCATGCGCGGATTGGCATAGCATCTGAGGGTTGCAACCTTGCTTGAGTGGTGCTGCCTCTTTTTATTTTGTGCGTGTTGGATCACCTAGGCCTTGCCACATGTCAGTCCTAATTCTCTCCCGTGGCAGCGGGTTCTATGCCCAAGACTGTAGCTACGGCGAATGAAGCATTCAACGCATCCTTACAAACAACAATTTGATGGTTACGCCATTTCAGTGAAGCGCTCTCTCGCGAGTTCACTACTTGCAGGACTTGTGGATTCGCGCCTTTTTGGAGCACTGGGCCGCTTGTGAAACCAACTTGCCAGGATGCTTCTGGCTGGGGGTTTGGGGTGTTGAAGCAACATCCCTTTGACCAATGGAGTACTCCAAGGGGAAGATGCGGAAGTTGTTGCAGCTGAGGCAACGGGAGCCACGTGCCGCCACTGCCACCGCCAGCTTCTGGCCTACAAGCTTTTGAGGATAGAAATGATTATACGCATGCGGAGTTGCACTAAACCATAGCTGCCATTGACAGTTGTCGTGTTTGCGTAGGGTGCACTTGCAAGGTGTCATGACCGCTTTTCGGCGTCAGAAGGAGAATCTGCTTGCAATTTCACATTCTGACTGCCAACTTGCGCTTCATTCGGGTGTCTGGCTGTTTGCGGCAAAGCGAAGGTACAGAGGGGGAAGGCGCAGAGGTTGAACTGGGCTCGCGCCTGGTGCGCAAACTTTTCCCCTAACAAACTAGCTATGTGCCTGTGTGCATTGAAACAAACTGCCCACCACACCCGCACCAGCCTTGCCCCGGGTGAAACCATGCTTTGCGTTTTTGCCCGAGCGCAGCCAGCCAGCCAGTTCCCGTCTTGTTGCTCCGCTTCCGCTTCAGGCAAGCTGAAATTGGCGGGCACACATCTCACTTCAACAACTCCTGGGCAAAGCCACGGGGTAGGGAGCCCTTTGCACCCCATTGTGAGGCATGGCCTCGCTTTCTGCGGTCCGAGGCTCCGATGAATGCCACTGGCGCCGAGCTTCAAGGCAGGATGAAGCTGCGGAAGGTGGCAGAGGTGGCAATGCCAGGGCCTTGGCGCAAAGGAGACACGACATCCCCAAACGCATTCTGCCTTGAGGTTCCTTGAGAAATTGGGGGCTACACCCCAAACACGCAACACCCATGCAAGCAAAGTGACACCAAGCTCGCTGCTGGGGTAATCCGAGCTGGGGCCCTTGCCTGCGCATGTGTTCGTTTGAACTGAGTCGTCTAGTCCACCCTTGATCGGTGGTTTGGGATTCCAACTCTCAACCACCCCAAACTAAACTGGGGTCGCCAACACGAAGCTTCTGAGCAGACGTCACCAGGGAGCTCCACGGTTTTCGCGTTTCAGGCCGAGGCCGTGGCTGGTTCCATCCTCCATCAGCTGCAGCCAGGGCCGCTTCGCAGTGTCTGATGGGGTGCGCGCCTTCGTGACTGAGGCGCTCCGGGCTGGACCAGAGCCCGGGTCGGGATCTTCCAAGGCCTTCCTGGATGTTTTCGTTTCCACACCACCCCCCCTCCACAAACAAAAAAAGGAAAGAACAGAACAGACACACTAATAGACACATGCAGCGAAGCCGCACTGCACGGGAGGAAGCCAACGTCTCCGAGTGGAGGGGTCCGCTGTCGTGTGGCGCCGCCATCTCTGCAGTGGCTCTTTCCCCGAGCGGCGACCTCTTTGCGGCCAGCCACTCGGTCCGCAGCAAGTGGAGGGAGGATTTGCGCTGACTGCGCTGGGGCGGCTTATTCCAAATCAAGAGTCGATCCTGATGGCGTTGGCCTGCGATATGCCAAGTGCCCATGCACTGTAGTTGTGAATAAATTGGGCTTTCCGTATGAATACCTCCTCCACGAAAAAACTAGCTTCGTAACCGTTCACTGTCCGGGGCCAATTGGGCAAAGATTTCTGGTTCCACGTTGAGACATGGCCGGATGACGTTGTTAGTGGGAAGCCTCCCCTTTCTTAGGCTGCACTCTCTATGAAGCTAAACCAGCTGCTTTGGTCAACTTCCCTTAGGTTGAAATGATGTTGCCTTCTGAAATAAAGGCCAAGCAATGCGGGTTCCGGCCAGTCAACTCAGCAACTCGGATGTGTTGCTTTTCTTTTATTGGCCTCCTGCAAGGCACGCGGTTTGCAGACAGGGCTTGCACTCCTTCAGGTAAGACATGCCCAATGGCTCAGGCATGTGTGTGTGCGTGTGTGTCTCCGCTTGCCTTTGGTTTGTCTCCTTTCTTCAATGGCCACCGAGCAATCAGCAATCGTACAGAACGATGTGCCAAGCACCCCCTGGCCTTGACAAGTTAGTGGCCCAAGTCTCAGTTGTTTAAAACAAATCGCTCTTTCTGATAATGTGAGAAAGGGGGATTTGCTTTAATGTTGCTTTCCAGCTTTGAACAGGGTATACTGCGCTTGGCCCCTTGGACAAGGTGAGGCTTGTTTCACAAGCGCCAGGCCAAGGCTGAAAACCATGTAATTGTCCATGCAGTTCGTTCGCGAGAGCACCTGCCAATTGTTTGTCTTGCTGCGGCAATGCTGGTGAAATCTGTGCTGACAAGGGCCTAAGAGTCGAGCTATGCATCTTTCATGGTGCTGCACTTGCAGTCACCAGCGGTTTCCTACGCATGGACCTCCGACTTGGATCTTCTCCCTTTCAAGACTCTTCACCCAAACTCGGGGCGCCTTTTGTCGCGTGCCATTCGCCCACCAACCGAAGGCGTGCTGATTCCCGCAGGCGAGGACGACTGCTGCCACGCCTGGCCCCTGACCTGCGAAAGGATCCGCCAGACCCGGGGCTCCGGAGGCTCCGGAGGCTTGGGCCAGCTCAGTGCTTTGGCGCTGGGCACTACGCAGGGCGCCTTGGACGAGAGATACGTGGCCGGGGGAAAGGGGGGGTGCAGGGAACCCATGTGCTTGTGTCATTTCTCCAGGAAGGAGCAAATGGATATGCTTGGACATGGTTTAGTAATTTAGGGTGCCCGATTGACATTCGATTGATTTTTTGCAGATGCACATGTCCTTAGTCTCAAAAAGCTGGGGAAGGGAGTGAATATTCTACATTCTGAGCTGCTGAAGGGGTTGAGGCTGCCGGTTGGCAGCTTCGTAATTTGCCTCTGGGTGCAATTGGGATGCACCCGGCATAAGCATCGCTTTTCGAGCCCGGGACTCAATCAACAGTGCCGGAGGATTTTGGGCCTGACCATCGCAACACCCAGAGGCCCAGAAGGCACAATCGGCCATATGCAAGATGCTTGCTCGCTTCACCAGTAGTTTGATTCACCAACTTACGGATTCCCCCAACCCTAGCCAAGCATTTGCCTCAATCCGTGACCGAACCGATGCCACGGATTCATCTCTCCCCCACAACAAGAACCTGGAATGACAATTCGGACAGCTTTTGGCGTGACGCACCTCCAAGGTCTCCAAAGGGGCCAAAAGTCGTAGGGCACAAAGCTAGTTTGCTTTGCGCTTGATAGGAGGCCCCCGCGCAAGGAAAGCCATTGCTGAAGCATCTCGGACCCTTTGAACGCCACTGAAATTACAATTATTCACCCCTGCCCCAGGCAAGCTAGCTTCGAATTACTTGTTGGCCGTCAATTTCAGCATAAGAGGCAGTCTTGTTTTCCGGGAGGAGCCAACTTCTGGGTAATTACCTTGGAAAATCGTGGGTTCACCCCCACGAACAGTGGATGATGAACATTTGGAGGCACTACCAAAACGGTTTTCCATGTGATGGATGCTTATGCTTGGGGGGGTCCAAGGTAAACCTCTATTTTCCACTTGGTTGAGATTTTTGTTTTTTCTCCCCCTGTTGATTTTAAAGGGAATCCATCACTACTTGAACTATTTGTTCCAGGGGACTTGAACAAATGGAGGCGCTACTTTCCCCGAAACGCGCCATGCCGAGATGCCGAGGCGTGGGCGTTTGGCGGCGGCAACTGGTCATGTTGGAGCCCGAGAAGTCTGGGTGGCAGGTGGCGGGCGCGCTGCCGGCCCCAGCGCCACTCGCTTGAAGCCTTGGTGTTCCTACCGCACCACCTAAGAAAGCCCTGGAATGATGGTTCCCTGCAAATGCCCACGAACAATGGTTTCCCATATTGGCTTCAAAGTGGTGCAGAATTTCGTCCAGCCACAGTAGGTCCCCCAGTAGTGCCCTTTTACCGTTTCTTTTTTGGCTGAGAGGGTTCCCTGCCAAAATAGACTGCAGAGAAAAGGAGGGTACCATTCTAGCCTCTCTACTGGAGGACCTAGATTCCTTGCCCAAGGTTTGTTGTTCAACATCAATCATTGATCCTGATGCCCGATGATGGTGCTTTCCCTTGTTGCAGTGGTGTGCCACGGCAGCTTGCAGATTAGGATTCGGCATCCCGGTTATTTGGACCAGCCCAGTTTGCCCGGCGTTCCTTTCCTAAGCTTCCAAAGGTCATTCTTTCCAGCAAACCTCCCAAAATCTAGAAAAACACCGCTCTTGCAAAGAAACTATGTTTGAAAAGCACAACCATGAACCAACTCCAAGAAAGACGTTGATTACCAACTGGGAGGTTATCACATCGCCAACCAACTTCTACAAAGACATGGGTGACCATGGGTGCCACACACTGGATTGGGGGGCTTATTTCGAGTCGATCGGGTTGGCGAGGCCAAGTTTTATCGGGTGTGAGGGCAGGACTTAGCAGGATGGAAACCCGTCAGATCGGGTCCTGCATAGTGCTGAACAACGAGCAACAACTCCTTTGAATTCACGCTCTGTAGTGCAGCCTGGACCTTCCATCGCAAAATGAATGGAATGTGCGCAAGCTGAATTTGCGTTGCGCAAAGTGCACGTTAGACACAGAGACAAAATGGTTGGATTGTTTGAAAGAAAGTCGCACTACTTATAAATTAACTTATAAACATCAGGGATCCCCCCGGTTGAGAGAGACTACGTGCAGCAACATTGCTCAGACCCCACATGGTTATACATGGTTGGGCATTCCCTCACGAAGAGTGTGACAAGCAGGTTTCACTTGAGTTCCGCCAAATGGGGCGAACTAGATACAACTGGAGGCCACGCAAGGGCAATTACGGCTGTCAACCTGAAACCTGAAGACGGCTGGGCCTTTTGGACATCGTCAGCCTGTCACGGATGGGTTATGTGCGGGGCACCAAGCCTCACCATAGAAACAAGCACGTGATGGGCGGCGGTCAGATTTCGAGCTCGGCATGTATGAAAGCCTGGGGATGTTACTAATGTTGGCACTTGATTAATAAAGGCCCCCCCCCAACAATGGAGGCGCTAGAACTCTAGGCTCACTTTTGGGACGTCCAAACCATGGAGGATTTTGGGGCCCAATTCTACTTTAGTATTGCAGCCACTTCTTTTTTGCAATTGTACTTTAGTATTGCAACCACTTCTTCCTGAGCATACTTTTTGGAATACTACTTTAGTATTGCAACCACTTCTTCCTGAGCATACGTTTTGGAATACTACTTTAGTATTGCAGTCACTTCCCCTTCAGTTCTTTCTGTAGCCATTCAAAGGGTGTGCCTTTCAGCCAGGGAGGGTGGGGTCTGTGAGGGGTACCCTTGTCCTGATTGTTTTTGTGCATTTTGTTTAACACGGTTTAATAAAGAATTTGCAGTTTCAGGGCTGGGGATGGTTTTCAAATTTCAGAGGTTTCAGCTGGCTTTGGGTTTTGTGTTTGAGCAACCAATTCAAAGGGGAATGCTTTCAAGTGGTTGAGGCCAGTTTTTGATGGAGCTTTAGGTGCGATTGTTTGGGCATGTTTGTGAATTTGTTGGCATTTGGTATGGGGTCAACATGGATTTTGGGTGATTGTTTGGGGGGGGGATGGTTTTTTAGATTAACACATGATTTGTGGATATGTGTTGGCAATTTTCCCGCCGGGCAAAACAACTTTCAGTTATATTGACTGACCCATGATTAATCGGGTATTAACATTATCATGCTGGTGGCCTGCCGAAGCCCTAAAGGACCCTTGGTTTCATTATTTTTTCTGTGGTTCCCTGAAAGCCGTTTGCTGGCCCTCTCCGTCCAGCGCACAGCAGTCGATGACGCCGGCCCCTTAGCCCGCAGGCGCGATGACGATTGGCTGGCAGTGGGCATCAACGACGACGAGGTGTTGGCCTTGACGCGGCAGGAGGTGTACCGCTACAGCTTCAGCAGGACATCCCGGCGCCATAAGGGTGTGGCTCAAAATTAGACCGGAGGGGCTACGCAGGTTTTGGTTCATGTTTCCACTTACCAGGATCCATTTTGGCGCCGGTTTTTTGAGCCACAGCCATGAGGGCAATTGGACTAAGGGAATGAAGGGGATAGTCCTAAACAGGTCCGCCCTTGAGAGTGTTGCTTTGGGCCCTGCAAGGTGTTTTTTCGCCTAGTCTTTCAGTAGTAGAAGCTGCAGGTGAGGGTCCGATAGCATGAAGCATTTTTTCAGCTTCTGTCGTTGTAGGTGATTGTTCGGGAAAAACAACGGGCCCTGCAAAGTGTTGTTCTCGTGGTCTTCCCGCCTTCCCCCTAGTCTTCCCAGTGTTTTTCCGTAGTCTTCCCCCAAGCGAGTTTCTCAGTAGTCGTCCCTGGAAAACAATCCGATGCTGCCAGCCCTGAGAATGAAAATGGGTGACGCTGCAAGCTGCCGGGTACCAGAAACAAGCACATCAACTTTTCGGAGCTTGAACAGTTTTTGTACTCCACGCGGCTTTCCGACCAGAAACAAGCAAAGTGAGTATGTCGGAGGTTGAAGGGTTGTTTTCAGCACTCCAGGCGGCTTTCCGACCAGAAACAAGCAAAGTCAGTATGTCGGAGGTTGAAGGGTTGTTTTCAGCACTCCGGACGGCTTTCCGGCCCTGCTAGCCCCGAATAAAATACAGTCATTTTTCGGAGCTTGAACAGATTCTTGTATTGCAAAAAGGGCGGGCGGGCTGCGAGGTAGTGTTGCCGGGGTGACCCGGAATTTAACGACGCGGGATGAGCACCCCAAAACGATTTGACAACGAGGTGACGCGGCAAAAATGAGGATTCATTCTAAATTGCGCAGACAAATGGTTGCTCTCAACATTCAAAATTTACTTGCCACACCATCTTAGTGGAGAGGAAGATCCAAAGCAGCACGACTAACAACAACAATATATTTCGCCATGTTGGCTTTTGTGAAGTTAACATGCACGTTTGAAAGCTTGGGGCTCCTGTAGGCACGCCCGTCTGGAATAATTTGATGGCACATGTCTCTCATTTGGGCTTCAGCATCCCCTTTACATAAACGGCATTGCGCCATCTACTTACACCCTGGCGTAGCTAATGCCCGCTTCCTGTTTTGTATCTTTTTGTGGGCCCCTCCATACAAAATTCGCTCCTACGCGCCGAGCTGTCTGGGGAAGGGACCCTTGTCGGGGCACGCTCTTCCAGTCCATTTGTTACTAGATGCTGGTGATCAAAAGCCAATGCACCTTCACTGACACACGGCCGTTTTGAGCCAACTCCCAATGAAATTGCCACAAGTCTCCCTAGTTCTTTTTGCAGAGTTCCCCAGTTGGGCATTGGATCTCGCAACTCTAGGCTCTTGCCAGGAGGAGCTGGCATAGCCGAGACCTTCCAATGGTTAGCGGCTGGCGCAGCCCGGCGTTCAGAGATGGCGCAAGAAACAAGACGCCGGTGGACCTCCATTCTTTGTTGGACATTCTTGCTGGGGTAGACTTAGGATACATTTTACATTTTTCCAGGGACTCCATGTGAAGCAACAATAAGCTATACATTCTATAACTGGGCCTAACTCTAACCATCCTTGCCTAATTGAACATGGGCAGGCCCCGTTTGAAAGCGCGTATATATTTCTGGGGGTGAGCCGTCAGCAGAACGGGCCGCGATTCAGGCACACCGGCCGGGAGCCTTTGACTTATGGGTTTGCCGATGCCCCTTGAGGGTGGTTTGAGGGTTGTTGGGCCATCTCCGCTTGGCGCTCTGGCCATCGCAAGCTTGTTGAAAGCCATGATGGTTTCCACTACGTAACCCTAAACCCTACACTACTCCCAGTAGCTTAATAGGATTTGCCACGATAGAAGTCATATGTACTCCCGTTTCCCTTGGTGTAGTCGAATCGGATCGGTGGCCCGTGACCGAGGATGGCAAGGCCTGTGCGCCAGCCGCCGATGGACGTTCCTGGCGCTGGCCAATGCCAGTGTGGCGTTGTGGCAGCTTGAAGATCCGGAGTATTTGCAGATCTGAGTCTCAGTTAATCAGTGGCACCTCTTTTCCTTCTTTTTTTTTGGGGGGGTGGCTGCCCCACTAAAAAAGGTCTTCCCCGAAAAAGGGTTCCCTTTTTTTTCCAGAGTCACTGAACAACTGAGGAGTCTCGAGTTTGCTCTTTCAAGGTGCTTGCGCAGTTCAAGGCTTACCGCGAATGTTTGTCTCCGACACCCGCCATGCATATGTGAATTGTGTGCATGGGTGTCGTTTACTGGAACTATGGTGCAGTGCATTGGCTTGAGGGGCAGGACAAAGAACATCCTGCCCCAAGGTTGTTGTATTGCATAGCTGCTTCCCCACCTGCCAACATGACAGGGGTTTACTCGTTCTAGCATGTCGCGAGAGTCAGCAAAGGTGCGAAGAGTGAGGGTTGGGCGGGCGGGGTTTGCTGAGATCAGTTGCTTGCCACCACGTCAATTTCTTTGCAGCGCCTCGAGCGAAATTCGTGGCGAGGGGTGCTCAGTTTGGACAACTCAGTGGGCTGAAGTCGGCGATGCAATATTTGTTCCAATAGGTTGGCGCTTGCAGTACCTTTTCCCATACCCCTGACTGGCACCAAGCTTCTCCATCCATTCTCGCCCTTGACTTATCTGATAGTGGAAAAGAAACACTTCCCAGGTTTAGGGTTGAACATCTGAGGGGCCACCAAGTCGACTGAGTCAAACGCTTAGGCCCGAGGTGCTGGAGCTGAGCGACTCGCCCTGCGCCTAGCCTTTGGCACGCAGGCGGCAGGCCTCCACCGAAACACCGATTTCCACTCGGGGGCGGGGCCCAGGGGGTGGGGGGGGGATTCGGCGCATCCAGATATCGCCGCGCGCACTGATACAGCAATTTCCCCCTCCCCTGCACCAATGTCCATCTGAGTGGCGGTTTTTGTTTCCGCTCAAGCAAGCATGTATAGATGTTGACATATCAACAAAAAGGGTAGCGCCGCACTGTAGTCGCGAAAGGTTCGCGGAAGTTGTTTTTTGGTTTTCCCCGCGGAAGCTCGCGGAAGGGACCTTGTTGTTTTGGACATAGTAACGTGATTTCGGTTGGGTGGTTGCTGGCAAGCACGTTTGCTTGCAAACCGTGCACGCGAATTCCCTCGCGGAAGCTACTTTCCTCAGTTTCCAGAAGCAACTTGCCTGTGGAAGGCCCGCGGTAGCACTTATACAAACTTATATAGAAACATGCTCGCGGAAGGTACCCTTCACACCGCGGCAGCTTTTTCGCGGAAGGGTTTGATACGTCAATGCAAATTAAAAGGAATAAAAACCACCACTCATTTGGGGGTGCCTGGGGAGGGGGGGGGTGGCATCTTCAGTCGAACTCCGCAGCTTGTCGGAGCCGCTGACGAAGAATGGGACGTTTGTCGGGGCCAGACATCGGCGCGCGCACCGATATCGATCCCGGGCCTTCAGGGGAGGATATCGGCGCGGCGCTGAATTGAACCCGTGCCCCCACCCTCAAGAAGATGTTTGACCATTGGTTGCCAATGTCGCGTCTAGAGAGCTCCAGGGAACGGATGCCATTGTCAGGCAACCTGACAGAGCCTTTGGCATAAGAAAGGGCATAGCGTCACAGATTCGCGTGTGTGTGCGTTACTCAGTTGAAAATTCAATTGGGTGCTGAACTGGCTGAGGTTCTTTGCACGTCCCTCAATGATCTAACAGTAATTATGCATGTTACTCCTCCCTGTTGGCCATTAAATGTTTGACTAAATTCAAACAAGGCCAAACAAGTTTGTTTGGCATGCGGTCGCCCAAGCACGCTGGGCAAACAGGTGTGCCAAACCGATACCGCTACGTTTTAGAAGGTCGTTTCGCCGTGTGCTTTCAGTTGCCCACAATCAGGCACATAGTTCCAGGTTGCTTTCCGCGACTTGGAAGCACTAAGCAAAAGGTCGCTGCCTGGCTTTCCATGAAGGCTGAGGCGGAGAGGAACTTGCTACCTCGCCCCGAGGCCCAATGAAGATGTGGACGTGCCCGAGGAAGATTTGGGCGTGCCCAGTGAGAAAAAAACGCATTGAGTGCACTGGACAGGCGGCCGAATGACTTGGCAAGAGCTTTGGGAATTCCTTTTCCGTTCCAGCATGTTCTACCGAACTAGCTGGGTAGACAAGAGATCTGGGGCTTTGCTTGCCAACGATCAAGTCAGGTTATGCGGCGGCGTTTGGAATGGAGCCATGATGGCTGATGAACGGTTCGGTGACGCCTTTGACTCATCCAAGTGGGCTTTGGCTCATTGCGCGCTCTTGTGCGCAGCCCTATCGGTTTACAGTTGCTTGGTCCGTCCCAAAGCCGCACCCCTCTTCCTATCTCAACGCAAGCGCGCGTAAAAGTTGTTCAATCAAGTGTTCACTCACTTGTTCAGTGGCACCCTTTTCCCCTTTGCTTCTGATTTTGCCGGGTTCCCCGCCAACAATCGTCAACCCCACTTCGTTCTTCCGGGGAGGCTGGGCAACTGCAGTAGCGCAGCAGCAACTCGAATGCACTTCACTTGAAGTTGGCGATGGCGAGCCTTGAGGAAGTGCAGGAGGCACGTGGAAATTCCGGAAGTCCCATGTGCGAGCTTCATTTGCGAAGGACGACCAGCCCCCGGTTTCGAAACTCAGCGGAAGTTCTTGGGTCTTGGGTAGCCTTGCGCAGCTGCGATGCGCAATGGGCAAGAAGAGGGGGTAACTGCAGTGGAGCCCATGTTTATGTTAGATTCCATACGTAGCCAACGTGTGCTTCTGTGTTACCATGCTCTGCCGCCGGTGCTCGGCTCGGCTCATCCCATCCCTTGGCAGGTTGGCTCAAGCGCTGAATCTTGACCAGGATTCCTCCAGCACACAAAGAATCACGCATATGCGCCATGGCAAAAGACTCTGTTAGCATAGGGTGAAGGAAGATACACTGGTGCTCTAGACTTGGGGGCCCACAATGGCATGATGCTCCAAGGGAACCAAGAACGACATGCGCCTTCTGCGAGATTTTCCCATGTTTGGAAACACCTACCGTTGGTTGAAAGCAGATGGCACAATTCAGTTTCTCTGCCTTAGTCACCCCCTTTTGCTAGCCAAATCTACTAGAAATTGTTGCATCTACTTTGCCTTTGGTGCTGGCTGGGGATTGTTTGAGGAGGATGCCCCATGAAAGCCCAAGCGCATCTCAGCCTGGAGGCCTTGCGGGAAGAGCAGGCTGCGCGACAGGCGCGGGGAATTCGTCTGCTCGGAATTCTGGTGAGGAATACCCTCTCAAACGGGTGCTGGACATAAATCCCCACCTAAATGATACGTGCGAGCCCCAGTGGAGATTCACACCTTGGCGAACTAAGACTTCAAGGTTGAAAAGCAGATGCCAACCAAAGAGGAGCTTTGACAAGCTTGGGTTTTGATGGTCGATTCTTGGCGTTGCGATTCTTGGGGATGACCCTCAACTGCACTGCAGATAAAACAAGGGACCCCAAGACCACGCCGGGAGAAAAAGATCCACCCGTTCTTGGTTTTCTTTCGTTCGTTTGCAGGGCAGTGTATCCCTGATTGCAGCAAAATATATCGCGACCGCACGCAAGGGGGTTTCAGGCTGGCGGCCTGAAGGTTCTCCTTTGGTCCCAAAGTTAGAGCTTACGGCTCCACCTGAAGATTGGTTAATGCTCGCTTCTTTCTTGCCCAACTCTTGGCTTGTTACCCTGCATTCCGCTCATTTTCACCGGGTCTTACGGCACTTCCTTCATTTTCACCGGGTGTGAATTTCACTCACTTTCACTTCCCTAGAGTTAGCTCCCCTTTTTGTTTTTGTTTTTTTTTGCTTTTTTGGGGTCCCTTTGATTTCCACTAACCAGAAAAGATATGATTTTGCGGGTCCTAATTCCAGCCTAGTTTTTTCTCAAAGGTTCCCGGAGGACTCACCCGAAACCCGGGGAACTCGGTTCAGCCAGGAGCTGGAGGAGGCGCTGCATAAAGCTGCGAAGTATGGCCGCGGCCCATGGTCGATCGATCGGATGCGATTTTTGTTGGGGTTCAGCTGCCGCCAGAGAAAAGGTTGGGGCTGATATGTCGGATTATCGTTGCATTTGATGAAGTGTTTTTTGTTTTTGTTTTTGTTTGGTTTGGTTTCAAAGGGAATCTCTCACTACTTCAAAGGGAATCTCTCACTTTTAGTCCTTGGTTCCATTTACCAGGGCAACGCATTTTGGGGTTACCCTATTTTTGACAACCACAGCCAAATAGAACCAGAACCAGGGGCTGATATTTAACCACCGGTCTTGCATTTGCTTAAGGGTACTGTTGTTTTAGTTCCCGTTTTGGTTTGTAAGCGAATCTATCACTGCTGGACATGTTTTTTTGGGTTTCCTCAGGGGGCTTAAGGGAAAGTGTTTTTTTGTTGTTTGCCTAGCCCTGGCACATGGCTAACCCTGGCACATGGCTAACCCTGGCAAGTGGTTGGTTGGTTCGTTGGTCGGTCGGTCGGTCGGTCGGTTGGTTGGTTGGTTGGTTGTAGGATTGCTTGGTTGGTTGGTTGGTTGTAGGGTTGCTTGGTTGGTTGCTTGCTTGCTTGCTTGCTTGCCTGGTTGCTTGGTTGCTTGCTTGCTTGATTGCTTGGTTGCTTGGTTGCTTGCTTGGTTGGTTGGCGGCTCGGTGGGACAAAGGTTGGGGGTAGTCCGTTTAGGTTAGGTTCAGGCCCGGCATCGCTTTGAGCATCCTCAGTGTCGTTTTCAACATCCTCAACATCACCAGGCTTTGGTTTAAGCTGGGTGTAGGGCGGGTTCCAGGTTGGCTCAGGGTTGGCTCCGGGTGGGTTCCCGGCCCATTGAGAGCAAATTTGGGGGTGGCTGCGCTTGAGGTAGATGGTTAGTGCTGTTTTATGGTGGCTTCTTGGGGTAGGTCTCGGGTGAGTTTAGGGCTGGTTTAGGGTGGGTTTTAAGTTGGCTTCTGCTCGGCTTTTAGTTCGGCACTAAACCATCTACCTCAAGCACAGCCACCCTGAAATTTGCTCTCAATAGGCCGGGGACCCACCCGGAGCCAACCCGAACCCGCCCTAAACCCAGCTCAAACCAAAGCCTGGTGATGCTGAGGATGTTGAAAACGATACTGAGGATGCTAAAGCGATGCCGGGCCTGAACCTAACCTAAACGGACTACCTCCGTGCTAGGCTAATGCCAGGGCTATGCAAACAAAAAACACCTCAGCCGGGCTTAAGCAAATGGAGGCATTGTTTACCGTTCAGGATTGTCATCATCCAAATTGGGTTCTTGCCTTTCTTTAAAAGGGGGAAAGGAACCTTAGGGTAATGTTGACCCGTTGATTCATAGGGGGTGGGGTTTGGCCCCTCCAAAAGTGGTCTGATTCCCCACTCCCCCACTGAACCAAGTAGTGGTCGTCCTTCTGGTTTTGCTTAAACCCCCAGCCAACTAACCGGGAATGCCGGAAGGAACCGCTTAGGATTCTGCCAACCTCCCCAAAGGCCGGAAGCAGAGCACTTGGTCCATCGGGGGGGGGGTGTCGGTTGTTTGGAGTTCGGATCACACGCTGGGATGAGTTTATTCGTCCTGGCTTCCCATTGTGGTCTTTTCTTATGCTGGTTCTCAGGTGACCCTTGGGATTGGTGGGTGGGCGATTTGAATCCCTGGTTCTTGAGGGCAAACAGGAAACCAGCCCCCAACCAGAGGGAAGCTGAGTATTGGGGTCGACTTGAGCAAAGCAAGATGGACGGCCACAATTTTGGGAATCATCTTGTTTTGACACATTCCTAGAGGGTGTATGACCGACCCTGAAAATGGGTGGCCCCGATTGGTTTGCAGTTGGCCAAAAACAATCCGACAAAGGCCAGCTAGCATCAGCCGAACACATGCCCTGAGCAGCGTTGTTGGTACAACCATCATGGGCTTTGAGAGCTCTCACCTGGAAGCGCATTCAACATTATCCGATCACTGTCTGTCGCCTCATTTTGAATGGAAAGAATACCCCCATCTCAACTCCAAGCATGTTGGCATCCGCAGCATCCAAGTTTCACAAACGCTTGCCTCAGGCTCCTAAACATTCTGAGGCCGCGATCATTAGGATCATTTGGTAGCCGACTCTTATCATGAGTAAAACTCATGAGTGATATTTTGCTGAGTTTTGCGATGGAATGTCAACTTGACTTCGGTCATCCATGTTTGCGGGTCCTGAAATGGAGATTTCGCTTTGCCAACAATCCCAAAAGCATGGAACTTGAAACCAAGGGAAAAATCACTGGGGCATCCCGTTTTCCCTGCCTTCTTTTTGCAAGCAAGCCTTGCAGTGGCACAAGCTGCCCGAAGCAAAGATATTGTTGCACGCTCGATGTCAAGCAGTGAGTCAGGAAGTTATCCTGAAACCACTCTAAAACCAGCGCGGGACCAGAGGTCAAATCATGTCTAGTCCACTGACTCCACATTGGGTGCTTTCTGTTTCGTGACGGCGCATGCCAGCGGAGCGAATAAACCCCGGTACCCAGGTGCCCAGTACTCGTTTAAAAGAAGAACTGGATCTGGATAAAGTGGTTGTTTTACGTTTGGCAGTGCTGAAAGCCCTAGGGAGGCTTTCCCTTTAACCAAATGGGCATGGGTCAAAATTGAGCACTAGGGGACCGCAGGTTTTAGTCCTTGGTTCCATTTACCAGGGCACCCCATTTTGGGGTTACCCTAGTTTTGACCCACAGCCAAGTAGAACGAGAACCAAGGGGTGCCCCGTTCGGAAGGTCTGGGAAATTTTCGGAGCGCCTTAGGCCAGGAGCTGCTGACTCAGGTGCAGGCCTGGCAGTGCATTGCTGTTGTGGCATAGGCCTAAGCGGTGAGGTTTTGCGGCGGCAGTGTTTTTTTTTGTTTTTTAGAATTTCAGTTAACGACATGCTCCAGCAATGTTGCCTGGTGCATCATGTGGCCCTTTTGAGATTGAGAAGAGGGAGATAGAGACAGAGATAAGGAGGGAGATGAAGGTTTGCAGATGCTCTCCCTCAAAGTGGACAAGGTGTTGAACAAACGCATGCCCCATGACCCTGGTGCTGGCCATTTTGCCTCTGGCCAGGAGCAGGAACGCACCATCCAGGAGTACAAGGACAAGGCGGCAGAATGTCGATCAGCCTGCATGCGCATGATATTGGAGCAGGTGGCAGGCAGATGATTCTTTCTCCTCCCCAGGTCCTTGCTTGAAAATCATGCGAGCGTCTCATCAGAATCCTTCAAATGACGTCCTGGCCACCGTGAACATCACTTGGCAAGTGTTACGAAGGATTTTGGCCTGCTTGGCTGATGGCCCATATTTTCATTTGCTTCCTTTTGACGCCTCACCCCGGCTTTCCAAGCGTTTGAGCTTGCGTCGGGCCGGGGCCGCGCCCCACGCGCCAAGGAGGTGGATGTCACACCTCAGAGCCAGGCAGAAGTGCACGCCACGAATGACATGTCTGCCGGTCGTCCTGGGGTTCTTGCGAGTGTGGGTATGCGGGGTTGTGTTTGTGCCTGTGTCTCTGTGTTTGGGTGTTTGCGCGTCTCTGTGTGTGCTTGTGTTTGAGGGTCCCATGGGTGCCTTTTTTGGGGTTGGTGAAAAAGGAAGCTGAAAGAAAGCCGTACCGACCACTCATTTGGGAGGGCGGGGATTCTATTTTTTTAGAGAGGGGGACCCCCTCAGCGTGGGTATTTTCCATGTGAAACAAGTGTTTTTCCGAATTGGGGAGTTGTGTGCAGTTATGTGTGTATATATCCTCTGACCGCGATCTGCGCTGCAACTTTGGCCAGCTAGAAAGCATCTCATCCATCTGCATCCTGCACTGAGTCGTCCCACCCTCCACTCTGGGCTAAGATGGCACTTGCAGCAGAAGACATGACCTACGAGGATCTCAAGGAGATCGTGGATGTAAATCTTCTGGCAAGCTTCGTATGTTAAACGAAACTTTTCATCTGAACTTTGTCCTGTCATCACCTTATTACCTGCAACTTTGAGAGGCCCTGCTCCTACATCTGCCCAACTGACAAGCTGGTAACCTTCTTCAGCTGCCTGAACTTAAGCAGCTTTCAGCTCCTACCTGATCTCAGTCCACCTCTTTCTGTCGTCCCAACTGGCACCTTTGAGCTCATCTGCAGAGAAGACCAACTTCTTGCTTGGATCTTTGGCCCAAAGTGGGACTTGATCACTCGTGCCGATTACCAGTGAGGATCGTTTCTTAACTATCATCTCTGCATCTGCAACCAAATGTGCATCTTCAATCTCAGCAACTGGAGCAAGCACCTAGATGCCAGAGCTTTCTGTCAATATCCTGGAAGGCTGGGCCCGCGCCTGTTCTTCAACTGGTGCCAGGCGAGTAGTCTGATCTTTGCTCAAGTAAGCTGCACCTAGCCATTGGATCAGCTTCTCTACATAAGAAGCTGCATACTTTGAGCTCTGCTGGAGCTTGGTCTTTCTCTGTAGGGCACAGTCAGCTTCTTTCAGCCAAGCTTTCCTTTGCATCTCATTTCTGCAAAGCTCTGCCCTGACCATGCATCTCTCTGCCCTTGCAACCAGAAGGGCAAAGAACTCTTTCAGCAGCTCATTCTTTGAAACGTTGTGGCTATAACTCCTTTCTTTCTGCAACCACTTGCCAAGTTGAGAGATCTCTCTGCTAAACTCTCTCTTTCTCCCTCCACTAGCTGCTCTGGCAAACCTCTTCTGCAATCTTCCAGCCTCTGTGTGCTCATCTTGAACTTTCTCCTTGCAACTGCCCAAGCTTCTGCTTCTGAGGCTGAGACTCTTCCAGAATCATTTGAATCTCTTCACTAAGCTTCATCTTCTGAAAGGCAAAAAGCTCTTGCCTCCTGGAAGGATCTGTCTCCTTCTTCCTGTTGCTTAACTGCCCACCTGCAGTTCCTCTACGCTCTTCCAGAACTGGAGGCCTGCCACCTTGTCTGCCTGTTACAGCTTCTTCTGGGTCTTCTTTCTCCAGCTCTGCTAGCTTCTGGAGGTAAGCTGACATCACTAGTGCAGCTTCTTTCTGCAGCTTGCTCTGCTGCTGCCTCTGGTATGGAACTACCCTGTTAGATAGCACAGGCTCTATCTCCTTGGCTTGCTGCTCTGGTGTTCCAAAAAACTTCTTTACGCTGAACTGTTTCTTCTCTAAGCTAGCTGGGCTGGGGCTGGGTGCAAGCTGGCTGGAAGCTAAGGACTCTGTCGGGCTTGCTGTCACCTGAAGCTGTGTTGTCGGGCTGGCCACACCTTTGGTTTTCTTGTTGTTTCGTGTTTGAAAACCTTCTAAGCTCTTTCTTGCAAAGCTGTCCTGTGGTGAAGCTTTTGCTGCAGGCAGCCTTAGAAACATCGAGAAATCAAAAGAAGGTGTCCAAAATCAACAAAAACATTGAGAATTCGAAAGAAACCATCCAAAATCAAAAACAACATCGAGAAATCGAAAGATTTTGTCCAAAACCGAAAGAAACCTCGAGAAATCGAAAAAAACCAAAAAAACCAATCTGGCCAACAGAATGTTTACATGATACCAGCACATTGTCCCAGAATCTTTGGTTTTTTTGGTTTTTTTCGATTTCTCGAGGTTTTTTTTGGTTTTGGACAAAATCTTTCGATTTCTCGATGTTTTTTCGGTTTTGGGACAGGAGCCTGACATCTGCAAGGGGGGTAAGGTGGAGAACTGTTTGCATGATACCAGCACATTGTCCCAGAATCTTTCGATTTCTCGATGTTTTTTTCGGTTTTGGACAGGAGCCTGACATCTGCAAGGGGGGAGGTAAGGTGGAGAACTGTTTTTTTCATGATACCAGCACATTGTCCCAGAATCCTTTTTTTTCCTCGGTTTTGGCCAGAATGCAGCAAAATTAGGTGTGTGCAAAAACCCAACGCTCACAGGGTCCCTTTCTGTTTTTTTAATACCCTCACAATATGTTTGCTTTCTTCCTTGGGAGGACCGTTTGAGACTCCAGTTAATCTTCAGTGGGGACTTCACCTGACATTTCCCATGTTGCCGGTTTTCAAAATCACCTGGGCCATGTGAACATATATTCCCTTTGGCAGACGTTTGAAGAGGACATAAAGTAAAGAACCCTGGGATGCTTTGCAAGGCTCCTGTGACTCTTTTTCATGACCTTGGCCATTTTAAGAATGCGTTGGCCAGCAGATGGACATATGCACGTAGCGTTTCTTTCGGCAGGTTGCCAGGTTTTGGGTTAGCTTAGGAGGTGTCAATCGCCGGGTGGGGGTGCAGACCAACATAAGCTTGAAACACAACGGGTCATGTTGGAAAACACCTACCTACTTCGAATATGTTTGAAATCGTTAATTTCAGCTGGAAGCGCGACGGTGTGGTCGGGGAAGCGCACAATGTGCACATTCCCATGCCAAGCAATGGACCCCCAGGCGATGCAGACTTTGCCGGATTTGTTTGTAGACAGAGCTGCGGATGGTCGTCATGCTGATTGCTCACATTGAAGGGGCCTTGGGTTTGCATCTTTGGCTTCGCTCGCAGGCGTCGCCAATGATGGGGCGTCGCTCGTGCCAACCCAAGAGATTGGTCCAAGCAGGTCTGAAGGAAAAGGACCAACCAAAAAACAGTGGCACTGTCTCACAATAGCGACATGGACCACATTTTGGCAGTTTCGGCTTTGACTCATCCTGCATTTGCCCTTGCATGTGTGTGTGTTTTTCCGTGGGACGATTGAAGCTACCGGACTTTGACCTTTGCAACGCAAGCTCTTTTGTCGCATGGGTGTCATCACGCATTGACCAGATCTCTTTGTGTGGCAGTCTGGGGGCAGCACCCTTCACCACACTGCCTCGCAGCTGCAAATGGCCATGGGTCAAAATCCCGTACCCCCAGTGAACATCCCAATCCCCACTAAAATAGACTATAATGGGTGGTGCACCTACCCCAAAATGGTACCATTGGTGTTGAGTTCACCGGCCAAATCGATGGAAGCCTCCCATTCTCCCACTGCAGCAACAAGTCCAATCCAAGCTGCCCTTCGCACTTGCAGGTCCCGAGTGGGCGGCCGCCCGCGCCTTGGTCCGTGCTCCTGCCCGGCTGAAGCAAGCGCATCACCTTCGTTTTTTTTTTTTCTCCTCTGCAGGGGTTGGAGGCGTTGTGGGATGGGGGAAGCGTCCCAGTGACGGGCTGCAAGGCACTGAACCGCGGTCAAGAATTGCGATGTTTTGTGGCAGGGGCCAGGCTCTTTCAGGTTGATTGGGGAGAAGTGGAGGGTGTACCACTCCAACACTCGCCCCTCTTTTCCTGCCGATGCCACAAGGTCGCTCCGTCACTGTTGCCAACTACCCTGGTGAGAACAAACGTCAGGACCTCAGTGGAGCAGAGGTGCAGGGCTCGAAAAGCACAAATCGTTCAGCAGAGGCCCAAAAAGCCACGGCTCTCATGAATGAATTATTGGCCTGCTGGCTTGAGGTGTGAATGCGTGCTTGGAAGTCAACTTTGAGCGACGGGTATGACAAAAGACAGCCCGAGGCAAAGGAGTTGGTTTCGCACTTCCGGGAAATACGGGGGACAGCGACGATGAGGACCTGCATGGGCTGAGTGGCTGGAGACTGGCTTCATTCCTGCGCTTGCAAAGCTAAAGGAAGACCAATGGCTTCTCGCTTTCAAAAGGACTGGTTGCGGACTGTGGGAATTGAAGGGTGGAAGCAAGTGGTCGGAGTGCTGTCAGCATTCCCGACCTCTCCAGTTTTGCCCCTTTCCCCTTTTTCGTTTGGTTGATTCTCCATGTTGCCCCCATGCCCCCCCTTAAGATCAACGGGGTTCCCTTCTTTCCCATGGCCGGTTTTTTCAGCAGGACGGCAGGCTGCGCCCGTCGCTTCAGCGGCGCCCCCGCGGCGCCAGTTCCGGCAAGACCGTGATGGCCAGGCCCCCCGGAGACGGCGCCGCGGGCGCGTGCACCTGGCGAAGGGAGAAGGTTTCAAGTTTTGAAGGATTTGAATAGAATGGATGCACATGTTGTGCTGTGTTGTGTTGTGGCAGTGTTGTGTTGTGCTGTGTTGTGTTGTGTTGTGTTGGTGTTGGTGGTTCCGTCAGCCTGTCGTCCATTGTGGGTTGCGGGGCCGCCTTAAACATTCTTTCGTTTTGACCGCTTTGAGTCGTGGCCACTAAAGAGCAACAGCCACACCTCCTCAAGCAGCACATTGGCACAGAGGGGGCCTTTTCGGGGTTCCAAACAGCTTTCGCGCTGGGTTCCGGGTCAATCGTCGCTGGTGCCAATGGACGACAGGCTAGCGGAGCCATCCCATGTATCCCGACTAGACTGTGACTGCGCGATGCATGATGGACTCCCTTATGGCAAGTGTTCGTCAGTAATTGTTGAAAGACAACTGGCATCAAAGCTAAGTACTAACATCAAACCCCACACCCACCCACTCACAGCCACACACCAGCACCAGCACCAGCGCCAGCACCACCACCGCCGCCGCCCCCGCCCCCGCCGCCCCCGCCGCCCCCACCACCACCACCACCACCACCCACCACCACCACCCACCACCACCACCCACCACCACCACCCACCACCACCACCCACCACCATAATCACCACAAAACAACACAACACAACACAACACAAATGTTCATCCATTATATATATATATATGTTTTTAAAACTTCAGCTGTTTTTAAGGGGGCGCCCAAACCCAGCATCATGTTTAAAGAGTTGTGTGTGGGGCGTGCCCACGAATGGAACAGGTTTTTGCGGGGCGCTGGTTCCGCTGTGTGCGCACGTTGCGCTAATGGAGCTGAGGTTGAGGACCTAATGCAGCACAATCAGTCGCCTTGGGCCTTAGGTGCCGATTTTTTTTGCGCTGGGCCCCGCTCCTGCATGGGCAGGCTGACAAGATCACAATCCCAAAAGCTGCTGTGATATTCGCCGGGAAGTGATACAATTTTTGGGGGCTACGTGTTCAGTCTGGCTTGTTCCAATCCAATCCGCAAGATCCTCCGTGGTTCGCTGGGATTTGTGTTTGTTTCAATTGGATGGCTTGGTGGGAGCTTTGCGTTCTCAGCTCAAGATTGAACCCCTGCCAGCACATAGTCCCACCGTCAATGGCACAGATGAGTATCAGGCTTCAAAGATTGTAGGCAGACGAGTGGGGGGTGGATGGCTTCAACTCAAAACACTGGGAGGGGAGTTGTTCCGAGCTTTTTCTCCAAAGTAGCTCCCCAGAAGTGCCCTTCAAGTCATTCTTGCATGGCAGAAGCGACTGGATCTCCTATTTATGTCATTGTTTCAATCTGTTTTGCTCTTCACGCTTTGTCCAATGTCAAGTGCTTGTGTCTTTGTGGGTGGTGGTGCTTGAATCGTCCACACGGGGAACCTTGCCTTAGGTTCGGGAGGAGTTACGTTCGCCAAATGGCACAAAGACAGCAAGGGGGTCAAGCTGTGGTCGAGGCTCGAGGATGAGCTGACACAACTGCGGCAGCAGCTGCAAGAGGCATACTCAACGGGGGGATGGGGTTCCGGGTTCCGAGTCGTCGGAACTGGGCCGATTGTCTTCACAGTTCACTCCTTTTACCCCTTTCAGTCGTTTCACAATTCCGGCGACTGCTGCTGCCGCCGTTGCTTTTGCTGTCGCTGCTGTTGCTTCTGCTTCTGCTGCTGCTGGTGTCGTCCCTGGCAACACCATGGTCTTGGTGGTGCATGGTCGCGGTTGTTGTCACAATCATTGTTGCAGTGGCGGTTGTTTCTACTACTGCTTCTGCTGCTACTGCCGCTGCTGTTGTTTTTGTTGTCGTCGTCGTCGTCGTCGTCGTCGTCGTCGTCGTCGTCGTCGTTGTGGTTGTGGTTGTGGTTGTGGTTGTGGTTGTGGTTGTGGTTGTGGTTGTGGTTGTTTGTTGTTGTTGTTGTTGTTGTTGTTGTTGTTGTTGTTGTTGTTGTTGTTGTTGTTGTTGTTGTTGTTGTTGTTGTTGTTGCTGTTGCTGTTGCTGTTGCTGTTGCTGTTGCTGTTGCTGTTGCTGTTGCTGTTGCTGTTGCTGCTGTTGTTGTTGTTGCGGTTAACACTTGTGTTAAAAGTAACAACCGATAGCGGAAGGCATTTGAATCACACTCAGATTCGAACCTTGAGTGCCTGCAGGATGACACTGCTTGATTCATGCTCCGTTCGCCATTTTGGCGAATTAGCCAAATTTTTCTTTTTCTTTCCGACCTACCTGCCCTGCCTGCTCGACCGCCATGACTGCTCCAGCGAATTTCGCATCCATCGTGGAGGAGTACCAGCTCATGGAAATGACCGAGCTCGACCCGGATTATGAACGACTGTACCGGGCCCTTCAAGACCATCTTTCGATCCTGCCCGAGGCGGTCGGTCCGGGCAACATCTTGCAGGGCAATCAGGTCTGCAACCAGTTCATCAACCATTCCGGCTGCAGGGGACGTGCACCTGCCTCTGCCCACCAGTGCGCCTTTTTGCATCCGGAGTTCGTTGATGCGCGTTGGATGCCGCGAGACAACATTTGTTACCGACATCTTCGACAACAGGCCCGACATCCAGAAGGCTTTTGCGACAGTGGTACCGAATGCCGCCATGTTCACAGCGACTCAGTCCTGCATGGTGACCTTCTTGCCTGGCTGCGCTTCGTGCACCATGCCAGACCCAACACCGGCGTGGGCATCCACTATGACACAGCCCACCGTGAATGGCGCTTTGTGTCCAGGCGGGAGGCCTTTGAAATCCTCCGCGACCACCTTCACGGCGAGTGGAACACGCCCATTCACCACACGAACGTTCGGTACCCCGATCCGTGCACCTACCAGATGCCATACGCGGTACCACGTGGCCCGCCAAGCACATTGAACCCGTCTCGCCAACGGAACAACACCCCCCGACAGCAGCGAGGCCGCTCCACACAACCGGGATACTCCCGAGCTATGACACCACCGCGGACCGTCAACTTCGCGACACCCACGGCTCGCGACACTCCCAGACAGACCCGATTCCCGGAGGCGACCACCACATCGACCGGGCCCGTCCCGCACCACATGCCTTCACCACGCCCGCAACCCACCACACCATCCAAGGCGGCACCCTCCACACCATCCAACCAACATCACGACTTAGTCCAGTGGCTCCAGCCGCCAGGCATCGACCGTGACGACAGCACACAAGGCCTGCTGTCAACCCAGCGGGCCGGACACATCCGCGCGCGGGTACACGAAGATGCCACCTTCCTGATCAATCCGGAACTGCTACCGGAATTCCCCTCCGTCCTCGACCACATCGGCTTGCAATGGCACCTGACCAACTACGGCATCTTCTCGCGCACCCCCACCAATGTGTACGGCAATGACTTCGGGGGCCTTTTTCTTGTACCCGTGGAACCAACTACGCAGGTCACACCTCTCAGGAGCCTGCTGCGCTGGATTATCCAGCAACACGTTCACCAACAACTCCAGCTGCTCAACAGCGCCAACCGGCAGCACATGCTACAACAACTGACCTGTTCCTGGCTTACCTTCGGGAGGCAGCTCTGTCGCGCCTCCCGGCGAGACCCTTTTGTGGACAACATGGCAATCACCTTCGGGGAGACCATCATTGAGACAATTTCCAATTTCCTGACCCCCGAACAACGCACCATGGCGACCATCGAGGGCATCCTGCTCGGCCCCGACGGACACCTGCGCTTCAACCGGGAGCTCTAAGACTGAGCAGAGCCAGGACTCCCGCTACTGACCAGGCGGCACCGAGGAGCCCCCAAACCAGCTACCCTAAGTTGACCCACCAAGTCCATGTCCCGTGCGATGGTGGGCCAGCAATAGGGCGATGACCCTCATACCGCACAGGTGACACCCATGCCTAGGCGACCGCCTGAGGCCCCCTTTTCCCGAAGAGAGATCCATCTTCGGACCGCGCAAAAGCGCTGAGTGCCTCGAGCCCGGGTCGACCCTCTTCGTCCCCCCTGTTTGATTCGAGAGGATACCCCTTGACAAACCGACCCACTGCTGAGGCCCATTCTGCGGTGACCAATCCCCACTCGCCTGCCCCGAACCCGACCGGTGTGGCGTGTCATCTAACACGACGTTTGTGCCGGTGTGGCGCGTCGTATAACACGACGTTTGTGCCGGTGTGGCGCGTCGTACAGATCCCCCCCTTCAACGGGCCATCCTTGGACCCGAGTCACCAAGACACTCCCCCCTGGCCCGACCAACCCCCCCCCCCCTTGACTCACACCCGGCACACTACCGACTCCTGCGTGAGTTCGGCAAGCGCCACCTCCAATTCCGAAGGAATTTTCAGGCTGGCTTTTGTGTATCCGATATCGCACCCCCTTCGCACAACATGGCACTTCGCGAGACCGACGCAGTCTGCGAGCTCCTCCTGCGGTCCTACAACACCGGCGTCCTCTCGAGGTTCCAGACCTTCCGCACCGAGAATCCCCGCCTCTCCACCACGGACGCGATCGACCTCTTCATGGAGTCGACCAACACCGAGCCGGACACACGGACACGCTACCTGCTGCTGGACTGGCACAACCTGAATCCAACACCAGCCACACTGCAGTGCTCGTTCTGCCAGATCCCATACCAATCCCAGTACATCATGCCCCTCTGCTTCTCAGAGGAAACCGACTGGCGAAACAAGTGGGTCGGGGCGTGCTACGGGTGCGCTACCTGCGACACCAGTAGCGTGCCGTGGTTCCAGTTCGAGGAGCTCCTGGCCGACCCGAACTCCCTGATTGCAGAACACGCACCGTACAACACCATCGCAGAGCACCCCGACCTCGCGGCCATGATCAGCGACCATACCATCGCCCCACCGACCTTACAGATTGCGGTGCCAGAGACGGACGACGCTCACGACGCCTACATCACCGTGCACAGGTGGGACCAGGTCAACCGCCGCTGGATCAGGGTACCAGCCCTCGACGTGAAGAACCGCCGGCCATTCACCCTCGAGGTGTTCAGCAAGCTGTGCCGACGAGCATGGCGACGCCGCTTGGACTACATGACCAACAAGGCCGTCGGCACCATCCGCACGAACACCCACATGGACATGATGGACTCCTTGCGCGAGATCCACCCCGGAACCTCCAACAACAACCTGCGCCGCCTCATCAGCGACCACTCCAAGTTCCTCGCCGAAACCATGTGCCTCGACCTCATCAACCTGGCACCCGAGGACCGACGAGACCTTTTCCTCATGTTCCACAAATGGGAGAGGCAGCACCTCACCGAGGCATTGCGCGCAAACAGCACCGGGACCCTCCTTGAGTTCTTGGACTCTGACGACTATCCCACACACCTCACCGATTTCATCACCCGCGTCCTCCCGTCCACCGACGAGCACTTTATCTGCCGACGTCAGTCGTGCAAAGCGGTGGTACATTCGTCACATTGGCTGCGCGCCACCGCCAACATCACCGAGCACGGCCAGTTCTTCTGTCCCGAGTGCCTCCAGCAATACCACCCCTGGAAAACCTACAGTGACGCCAAAGCCGCATCCCGAGGGGAGGCCCTGACCGCAGCCGGCCAAGACGACACAGAACGCTTCGTGCCGGCCCAGAAGTGCCTCGTGGTACGCGCCACCGCTGGAGCACACGAGACGGACCAATTGGCAGAGGCCATCACCGGCGACGACGACCGGCGCTACATGCTCTACCTTCTTCGCTGGGAGGAGGACACGACCGGCAAGCTCATCCAACAGATGAAGGTCCACATCAACGAGATCGCATCCGACCTGCGACAAGCCAAGGACCCCCGCGCCTATCTGGCCGACATGATCATGAACAACATGCAGACGGCTCAGAAACTGCCATACATGCACAGGACCTTCTGGACCCAAGAGAAGCTGGAGCAAGTCGCCCAGCGCAACCTGGGACGCATCAAGCCACTCCGAGTCGACCTGCTCCCCAGCCAGAAGCGACAACGCCACCAACCCGCCACGCCCTTCTACGACATGCGGCGCTATCGCTACGACCCCAGTTCCACCCGCATCCTTGAGTCCTCGGACCTCGCCAGAGTGATGGGGCTGTGCTTTTGCCGCCTCAAGCTCTGGACCTGCCAAGACCTCGAGGGGGCGGACCGTCTCAACCACTTGAGCGCCCTGTGACGGACCTCGACCAGCACCGCAACCACTACGACCCGAAGGGCGTCCGTGTCCCGCGCGAGCCCGGAGGGTCCGACCAACGCGGTTGCCTTCGCACGACCCATCTTCCTGAACCTGCCGCCGAAGTGCAACCTCGTTTGGCGGTACGTCAGGACACCCGTGCAAAGAGCAAAAGGCGCACCATGTGTTTGAAGCCAAACACCCCTAAATCCCCCCGAACTTTTGCTCACCCTGATTGTTTGCATTGTGCTTTAGTCTCCACGTGTGGCAAACCTTTGATACATTTGACATAGCCATTTTTGGCCCCTCTCGGCCCTTGATACAGATCACCCCGAGATGACGTTCCGTGATATTCGAGCATGGCTACACCAGCGGTCCTTGCTGGCGATCGC